TTTAATGTAATAATACAATAAAAAACCATATACATCATAATTATTTACAATTTAACACAGTACCATACCTTTACTCCACCATTATCATCTCCAGTTGCCACTAAATATTCTGAAATAACCTTCACACAATTGATGGGTGATCTGTTAACCAAAACATTGCAATTATGGATTGCAACCATTTTTTATGAAACTTATCAATATGCCCCAATAATTTTTGAAAAAAAAAATGTATTTTTAACACCTTGCATTGTCAGTAATATTTCCATACATTCACTACCTAAAATATGTTCTCAAGTAATCTCAAAATTCTGGTTCCAAGGTTTTTTAAAACCTTAAAAAATTGTTGGCCTCTCAACTTGATCCAGCCATTGGTGGTTGTTAGCTCCCTCAATCAAAATGTGCTCCACAGTTCCAGCTTAAGAAATAATGTAATAAACTACATGTATTGTACATGGCTAGGGTAAAATGATGCTGATTTAAATATGGTAATTAAATTCATGAATTTATAAAAATTCACTGTTGAAGTCTATCAAATGATTCAAATGATRTCCTGATGTTAGTTTACATTCTAGAACTCATTAATAATTCATGAGCTATTAGTCCAATGAGCATTGAACTATTGGGTCACATGATGGGCTTTTATATCCTGATAAAGTACTGATGTTTTATTCATCAGTTCTATATCAGATATAAAGAACTTATGTTCAAGGTCATGCATTATCTTTGTTTTCACACTTTTTAGCTTTTTTCTAAACTGATAACAATTTCTGAATGTTGGAGTTCTAGAAGTTGTTTATAGAACTCGAGTGCGTGTTTTGTCGGGTCCCGATAAAACACACACTCTCKTTCTAGAAACAACAGATAAAGATATATGAATGAATTAAATGATAAATTTGTGAGTAGTGATATTTGGCATGTCTGTATGGAGCCATATCTATGCTGCTCAACATACTCATGTGCTTTTTTTCTTGTCAGAGCAACAGAACCAGTGTTCATATCAACAGCTTGAAGTGACTTGTCCTTTGAGACTGACAGCAAATCTGAAAAACACATGCAGTGGAGTATGTTTTCAATATAAGTTGCTTGATGTAAAGCCAGTGCATTCCCAATTTGGCTGTCACCCAAGGCTAATCACCACTATAATTCTTTATTGCTAGCAGACATTGTATTGCATGCTGCTATAGGTCAGTGAAGTGAATTTKTTGTCATATCAGCAATATAGTAATGGCATTTGCATGAAGTGAGACCAGCCTGATGTATTGCCTAAAACAGCTATAAGTAAATCTAATATTCCAGTTAGCAAAGGCAATTTGTGCAGTGTTATCATTCCAATGCTAATGATGCTGTTATGCTTGAACTGACATTGATTGACAGCATTGATAATGCTTTGTGGTGAGATGTTGGCTGACATTTTCTTTTAGAATAACTTTGCCCAAACGTTTGTCCATAAGTTGAACTGACATAAAATCTGTTACAAGGTTAATACATGCTCAAAAAGGACTTACTTTATAGGGCACTCATAAATAGTATGCTTTACGTTATTAACTTACACTTGCCATCTTCTGTAAAACTCACAGCTCTGCAGGCCTTTTTATGGTGAGTTAGTTCCATCAACATCTTGTTTTGTTCCTGAGTAGAGAATGAATGTCTGCAAGAAAAAAAAGTACAATAAAGAAGCACAGAGAGATTCCGAAACAAAACAAAAAAAGATAATAATAATAACAAAATCAGCAAAACGTAAGCTAGAGAGTCTTACATAGTGATAGGTCCATCAATTTGGGCAACTGCAATCACGTTTCTTTGGGGATGAAAAGCAACATCAAACACTTGACTAGGAACTTTGATTTCTTCAGGAACAAGACCATCACCATCCTGTGAAGTAARAGTACAGCAAACGAGAATGACAAAGTTTGCACAAATGATATACACACACATATCTAATCTTTATACAAGTTAACCCATACCTCCATGGCGTTCGCCATTTGTAATTTTTGTGTTCGGACTACCTGTGTCCACTCTTTGAATACTTCCACCGCTGGTTAATTTGTGCTTGTTTTGTAGGCTCAGGAAATTTGATACATGGCGACTAAAAATCGCAAAATGTTTGTGACTCAGGTGAAACCTCCTTTGATTGAACTCGACGTTGCGATTGTCATCAAAATAGGTGCCTTATTGCCGTTTGCTTCAATTGTTTCTTGCGTGCTGACCTCAGTTTTGTTGCACTTCGAAGAGAGTACGAGAACACATTGCCATGTGAGTCAAATGCTGTGACATGCATGCCTCAATACACTATTGATCGTCTAAAAGACATGCAGCAATGTTGGAGGAGGAATAAACAATRATATTAATAAGAAATACTTTCTTGAAGTACCTACAATATTATTCCGTATGGAATATAAGTTGATACCAGGCTCCCTGCAGTGAAACCGTCAGTACTAACAAGATGTGGGTCGTGGGGAACTTACAGGGCACTACACAATGTTTATATAGTACATCCCAATGTTTATATACTACATAATAAGCTTACATACACTCGAAATAATCACATGATGATTATTCAATATTTTGACTAATTTGTTTCTWAAACCATGACTCTTAGGTCGCAAACTACCTACCATCCATTAGTGCAGCTACTGGAGGTTTTACACCAGAAAAATACATTTGGAGATTTGGCATCGGATACCACTCAAGCATCCGAATACTTTTTACTATAGTGGAATACCAAGTATTGAGGAGTAGGTGCATTGGAAAAACTACTGGGCTTTACAAATGGTTTACTATGATCAATGCAGTTTTGTGTTTTGTTGAGAATCTTGCCCTTGTGACACTTACATATGTTTCATCAAGTGATAATTACAGTGAGTATTTAAATCTGTTGAAAAGTAGAGTAGTGGTAAAAAGGGGCCAAGGTATGTGAAGTCACTCAATAAGTCTTTAGAAGACTGAAAAGAGTTCTTAGAGGTTGTACGTTTTGTTGTGTTATCTGACTTGTATATGCAGACACTCAATTACTATATAAAGGAAGGTACGTTTATTATTGGGGGGAGGGCTGGAGTGGGAGAGGAGACAGGGTCATATATCATTTTTGCAAACTTTAGGGGAGGGTCACTTCTTCACTTGAAAGCTTATCTAGGTGAGGGTCATCCTAGTTTTTAGGTTTTAGCTAAGAAAAAATGTTATACCATCAAGTCGATTTTTCATGGACCGACATACTGTATAGAGTTCCAGTGAGTACACACTTTCCCTTCTCAATGGGTACTTCTGTTCTTCTTGCGTCCAGTGTACCAGCAAAGGAAACCAATACTCTGAGTAAAAATAAACTACCAAAATATTTGTTGAAACGTCGAAATTTGGCCTCAAACATTTATCTTCGAAATTGGTAATATTAGAAAACCAATCACATGACAAAAATCTCAGGATAGCGAAATCAAAGCACAGAGATTCCAGCCAATTTTGTCAAAGCTTCTACTACACATTTGTACGTTCGGGAAATCGATTTGCGAAAGATAAAAAGCAAATTGCTTTCGAGAATTTTGAGAGTCACTTTTTAGGAAAAAGAAAAAAGGAAAACAGGATGACTTTTCGCTTTGATCAGTATCGATAACAAGAAAAAGATTATTGTAAATGCTGCAAAAAGGGGAAACTCAACACCGATCTGTGTGAACTCTTTTTTCATCAAACCTTTAGGTGGCTTGYTTTGCCCATTCCATTAGTGTGAATAATAGCGTGCTTTCTCTGCAAACTTTGGTATAGCCTGAKACTTGTGAGTGTGGGGYGGGGGAGGGTCATCAGTATTTTTGGAACTTTTGAGGGGAGGGTCAAAAGTTTAGTTTTAGAATTACTGGGGAGGGTTACACATTCTTTTCAAAAAATTACTCTGAAAACTCCAGCCCTCCCTCCCAGTAATAAACGTACTTTCCCTAATTGCATAACATACAATGTATTTTCAATTTTTGTTCTTTTATTGATGTTGTAGTTTATCAGCCTGTATTGGGTGATGATCACATTACTTTGTCTTTTTCTTTGAAGCAAGGTTGCATATCATCARTTTTAATTTCAATTTTTATTTCACAAAATTTAAGGGACTTAAAATAATGCTTAAAATAAAAACTWAGAATGTTTTCATTTCTACTAATATTTTGAAGACAAAACATGTGTATCTTTTTTTAGTCTTCTCAACATATTGTTATTAAACCCATCAGTATGATGAGGTTGGAGTTGTGCCTGTATCCCTAGTGAGGTAACCATGGAGAGTTAGGCATGTAAGCCACCACTATCAGCTAAACAGCTGAATACGACAATTTGTGAACAAGAACATTGGGCAAACATTTTGATATCAGCCACCWTTTAATTAACTAGTGCATAAAATGAGCAAATTTCTTGTTTATCAGAATCTTTATTTATCAATATTAATCATTTATTATGTTTATTTAAAGGTATTCATGAGAAAAGCTTTATTGTATTCATGGTGTTCAGCATGCTTCACATGTTAATTACATGCATTCTTTATTACAAGACATGTCAGTCTCCTGCCTCGTATGATGTATGTAGTCAAATCCATTATTCATCCTGTATTGACAATTAAAGCGCACATGCATTATGGGGTCAGCAAAATAAAGATTAACTTAGGGGCTGTTCATAAGGATKGTGATTGGGAAAAAATGTTCATGAAAACKTTTTTGCCCACCCCCTCAAAATACCTACCACTGCTGTCTCGCCAGGAACGTTATTAAAAGAGTCTCTTTTGGTGTTCGGCCAGGGCAAAGTTATTTTAATCCCGTTAATCAATAACGTTYCTGGTGAGACAGCARTGGCTGGTACAACAAGGACAGCGGTAATAAATTCAGCAACAACCGCTTGAGAGTTTGAGTAACGATCATTTGGATGAATTTCGTAAAATCAAGTATTTTTTAGTGTTTAAGAGGACATTTCAGTGTATATTTCAGATAAGTAAAACTTTACAATTTATTATCGACTATCTTATGTTGGATAAGTTAAGCAATTTTTGGATCTTACAAATTGATCTTATAGGTCATAATTTCAGTTCTAGCGCCCTTGCTCACACTAAAAAATAAAATCGATTTTTAACGATTTCAGATAGAAATCGATGAAAATCAGCTGATTTTTTATCGATTTTTATCGATATCGATATTTATCGATTGACTACTCCGGGTTATCTCTCACAGTGTAAGTAAGTCTTGAGTTGAAGCTGTAATGCTAACTCAATATCATGGTTAAGTTTGTGCATAGATCATCTATCAATAATGCATGTTTTTTTATAGGAAACTATTTCTCTTAGAAGGAAAGTCACATCAATGCTGGTTAATTATCTTTCATTTGGTGCTGCAGTGTACGTCTTCTTTCGACATAATTCCTACTGTGAACCAGGRGGTATCCTTTTAATGCACTGTTAATGCACCATAAAACCCATTCATACACACATTAGGTATTTTCCATCCGCAATTAAATGTAATTAGTTTATGAAAGGAATTTAAGTTAATTATATATTTCTTAACGCCTTTTTCAGTCTACAGCCTGTTCGCATTGTTCGAATATGTTACTGTGTTTTCAAATATAATATTTCACTATACGATAACGCATGACTTAAGAGGACATAAATTTACTCTGGGACCATCAATGGTTACAACAAACAAGCAACACTGATAGCAGAAAACATTGCACGACGTTTCCAACAGAGTTAGCTAGAATTGTTCTGTTTCCAGCAATGAGATATGATGACATATCAAACGA